CAATGGGGTGTGTGCGTTAATCACTGGGTGTGGGCGCCGCCCAGCCGGACCTCCGCATTGGGAGGCGTGCGAAAAGACAATGCCGCACGGTCATTTTCATAATGAGGCGGTTATTTATCACCATTACGAGGAGAGGCTATATCATAATGTGATTAGCACGAAGACTAGTGGATTATTTGAGGTGCTTAACCCTGCTTATTACTATTGCATGCCCATTTGACTCTCAGTGCTGCCGTGTTCAGCGTGTGGCTGTGAGAGAGCAATAGCAGGAAGGCCCGATGTATTTAGCTTCTGCACGAGCGGATGGCCAGTGAGAAGGCAAGCGGTTACGAGGAAGGGCTAGACATATACATTTTAATTAGCAGCAGGTAATTGAATATGTTAGGTACACCTACAGTCCTGCTGACATTTATTTATATCAAACATTGCAAGCGCTGATTGCGATCCTCAATTTGCCGATTCATTGAAACCAGAATTGGAACTATTTATGACATTGGTCAGTGTAACGTGTCTTTGTTTGAATAACAATCGCAGACCCATTTGGGCCAAGCCATGGTACTTCACCGGCACTGAAATGCGTAGATAAAATGCATGAATTATCCTGTATCTGAGAAAAAGTTTTCACAGTGAGTCAAAGGTTACAATTTAAGGTTAGATAAAAATTTTGTGCCTAATATATTTGTGCAGCTATTGAGTCGTCTGTCGACAAAGCCGAAAGCAGAGAACTTGCGTGATTCCTGTGTCTGCTCGTTTTCCACTTCACTTCCCTTATAGCGCCAAAGAATGAACCTACTCGTAAGTCTGCAATTTCTGTTCATCAACGTCTAAGAAACGCATATACAGAAAACATTGACTTCACGATTAAAAACCTCAGGTCCCAGTCGCTCCCATCTCAGCTGTATTCTGATCACTGAGAAGTGATTATGGAGGTTAGGAGTTTCTCTGTACTGAGCCAGCTTCCTAATTCACCCAGAAACGATCACCCATTCTCGCATCCCGTACCGCGGCAGGTTCTGACCGAGAAACGAGCATTCACACTCCTAATTAACGGCCTAACGGGAGTGCGGCAGTCGGGTGACCGATCTGCGTCTCTGGCTGGTCTCGCCAGCGCCATTGGTCAACGGCGCAGGACGGCTGCCGCTCCTCATCTTTCTCTCACTCTCCTTCCCGCCTCCACCGCCACGTCCGGTAATTGTTTTCTAATAGGCTGCTGTCGGCTGACGACGGGCGCTTAATGAGGTCACGCTCGGGTCACCTGATGGATACCCACCGAACGATCTCACAGTTCCCGACAGCTTCTGTAAGTACCGATCGGTTCAGTGCGCCGAGATCGGCACCGCCGCGCAGCAGATGACGCAAATGGAAATGGAAGGCCACGCAGAGCTAATTGGCGTAAACAGGCATTCAGTCAGGGTGGTTTATAATTGAACTCAGAATTGGATGCGGTGTTGTTCTGGGCGACCATGTGATGATTGAAATGTGGAGATGGAACGAAATCGAGGTGTGTGTGTGTCAACTTATCGGTGGGAACTAGAATCAAATAGGCCAGAACTGGACGACTTTCGCCAGTGGCATCGCCGCTATATCGTATCACAATGTCTCCGTCTAGTCCCCCTAGGACAGTGACTGTTGGCCAATGACTTGAGGAGCGACACAGCTCGACAGGCCGGCCCCAGCGCGGAGCTTGTGATATGACTCTACAAAGATCATGTCATCCCCGGCTAATGGTTATACTGTCGACCATGTAAAAGCCAATCACCTTTCAATCGGCATTTCCCAGACAGATAGCCACACGCCCCCGCCAAAGTTGACAAAGGTTATGGTTACGATCCGCCTAATGCATATTCAACGACTCCGGGAGAAAATATCTGATGGCTGTACTAACTCATCTCTATCACGCTAATGGAATTAATTGACACGTGGATACTGTTATAAAAGTGTTTTGCAGGGTACAATGGCTAGTCAATCACGATTCAGCATGGATGCGTGATCAGGTTCAATGGAGAACACTTTGCGCTCTTTGTTCATGCAAGTGAAAATAACGTGGGTCATTACCATTTCCAGGCAAATGTATGGCATGTCCGGACAAAGACGATTTGCTGTGCATCGCCTCTGGCATGATATGTGTAGCGATTATACAATAACAATATAAAAGAAGACGATCATATTCATGGAGAATGATGGGCACTGACCAGCACTTCAAACACATAAGGAGCAAGAAGCCCGTGACGGATGGCGCTAACCAGATATAAATCAACAATCTATCGGACCAATTTCTGTAAGGCTAAGGTAAGAGACACTGACGGACTCGCTCTAAATTTGATATGATTTCTGATGGAATTGGTCTCCGTAATCCGCTTACAATATTTATGAACTCTCTAACCCGAACACAATTTTCAAATGTATTTTTTCTTCATGGCTCACCGGGCTCACCTACTAATTTCCCAGCCTCCCCAGTCTCCCCTACCTCCCTCCCCAAAACCCCTTATCATTTTAAAGCGACCTACACCAAGATTAAAAAGCGCAAAAGAAATTCCGCCGAAATATTGTGCCGACCCAGTCAATGATCTACCAAATGCTTTTGCATTTGTTTTTGTATTTATCCAACATTTATTGTTTTCTGCATTTTTGCATTTATCTAATCTAACCTTCTAACTATTTTTCCATCTTTTCTTTTTATGCCCTGCTATATAAAACATGCATCACCTAAATCATTTAAAACTTTGTTTAAACTATTGGCTGAGGGCATAATTTACTAGAAATGCTAATTTCACTAGTAGAAATAGGCTGTTTGTAGATTTTGGTTGCGAGCCTTACTGTAAATTATTTTTTTCAGTAGTCAATCATTTTTGACTCATAAACCGTTACGTAATTGTATTTGCCATGCCGATTATTTACACGTAATGCAAGGGAACCGACACTTTCGAGTACACATTTAACAGCTTTAATTAAATTTCACACCTTTGCAAACAAATGCAGTGATCAACGTTTAATTCATGGAAGGGCCATTCACCATTGAACTGGCCTAGAGCCGGAATATCTGCTTTATTGACATTACAGTCATGTCATGTGTGACGATATTATTCGCATAGTTCACAATGCATCTGCGTCCCAAACAGCCTTACATACAGTTCACGATGGCATGCGATTCGCCACTTCTACTCACCATTCCACGGTGGTAACGACAGCAGCTGTTGGCATTCTGTCTCCTCGGTAGAGTTAAGCGCGTGCAGAGGTGTTTGTCATATCATTCTGCCGGCCAGTTACGCTGTGAATTAAACATGGGCGGCTGTCTGGTGCAATTAGCCTGGAGCCGTGTGCAGACCCAATTTGCGAATATTAACGTGAGAACGACTGACTGGCTTAATTATTCGTTTCATAAATTGCCACGCCTAACACCATTCGAAAACTCGGAGTGACAATAATGCGATGTAATTACTGGAGTCAAACAGTCAAAGGGCGGCCTGCGCGATGACACGACAAAGAAGCCACACTGTTACTGGCAGATTACAGTCTGCAGCCGAGTGGTGCACTGTTAGCCAAATATTAGCATTTACGGTGCTCCTGACTCGGTGAAACAAGTAAAACAGAGGTATGTATTTCAGGACGTGTATACGTTGTTTACCTCCACCGACGACTGTAAACGTGCTGTCTAACAGTCCAAATGCTATAAAACGGAACACAATTATAGCCCACTTATCACAATAACAAAATTCTTATTTATTTTAAATTTTAGCATTCAGCAAACTTCAATATCCAGATACCTACCAAACGATCCTGGCCTGTAACGAAATGTTTCCTTTTCTATCGTAGTAAGTAGTTTCGAAGATGCAAAGCAGGAATGTTCTGTAAAGGAATAGGAGAGTGCAAAGTACAGATACACTACTGCAGGGAAGACGAATTTCCACAAAATATGACAAAACTTTCTCAATTCACATTGTTGTCTTTGTTTTCATTTGGCTTTTATTCAATCAAGTTTTCTTTTAGTCAAAGACATCGTTTAGACTTCCAAAGTTTACTGTCAGTGGATCAAGTGCCAGCTGACGGTCTGTTGAATAAATGCTCGTACAAATACAAATTCTACGACTATCACCAGTCGTTTTCATTCTTCATTTTTCTTTCGTTTTCGGCAGACGGGCGGTCGGGTGGAAACTGGAGGGACGGACGGTCAGACCCGGCAGACGGGCAGACGAGGCAGACGGGCAGACGATCGGACGAGGCAGACGGGCAGACGATCGGACCAGACGGACGGGAGAGCGAACAGGAGAAGGACGAACAAATCTTATGTATACAGACGTAAGGAAACACGGACGATGGATCGGACGGAGAGGCGAACACACGCCAGTCGGTGGGCAGCAGAGGTTCGTCTCTGACACCTCGGCGGTCCTCTGAGTAATGGATCGGCGACATCAGCTCCGCATCGGCGACACGGAGCCGTATCGGCGACACCAGCACTCCGTGTTGGTCAGCCGCACACGATTAATGATGCCGCGGCGGCGCGAGAGACACCGTGTCGGCTGCCGCCTCGCGCGCCGCGCGCGTCTCACGTCTTCTTCAGCCGTCCCTCGTCTACTTTGCTTTGGGTTTCGGGTCCTATGTCTCACTGATCTCACAGCCGGTCGGAGGCACCGCCCGTTAGACCTTTCCCTACTCGATCCTGTTTGATTACGCGGGTCATCGCAGGCCAATCTGAAGGCTGAAGCACTATGGCGACAGTGGGGCCTCAAAATGCTGCTTTTAGAACAGGGGTTCGGCAAATAAATGCCACCCCTTGCTAATTTCATCGAGGGTGACCAGAGTAGCATTACTTTGAGCTCGATTGCTAAGCACTATCGAATGTCATGTTTTAAATGATTTATCTGTACGGACCAGATTCTGTTGGAGTCATCTGCTCGGGGTCCAAGACAAAACTTAACGAAACTAATGCAAGCTCTAAGCGATGGATATTCGTCGAAGAGTCCTTGTTTTTGGGTGGAGGGCATTTAAAACCAGTAGCAGAAGTGGGTCATACTAAATGAAAAATGCCTCCCATATTTATTCCAAAATACTATTGCCGACTGATAAGCACGTGTATTATGTGGAACGTGGTAGAAAAACGATCAAAACCATGAATAAGTGACCGATAACGTAATCATGTCAACTTAGAAACTAGGACATTGCCGTCGTGCTCCCTTTCCTTCAGTCAGTTTATCATTTAACGATTAATTTTTTTATTAAAAACTGACAATAAATGTGGCAATAATGCAAAATCCGTACAGCTCACAGCATACTAGACAAGCAGCGAAGCATTCCAATAAATATATAATAAGAACACCACTCCTAGAAACATACTCACTACAAGGCATTAAAAGTTCAGGGGACACAGGCACATGAAGCGTTTACAATCACATAAAATCACGCTGCTCTGTACAGTTGCGGACTATCGCTCATATACTTTTGACTCTGGCAGTATAAGCTGGTTAATGTTGACATATGTTTAAACGTCTTCAAAGAACGCCTTTTGACATCAGTTCAACGCTCAGCTGGAGTGCTGCAGCGTAAGCCAGGTCCTCTACTGCGGGCTGTCAGCTTCGGAGGCCGGGTTGCTGGACATGCCGAAGCCATGGAAGCCGTTCTGGTTGTCCTCAATAACGGCCGCAAATCGGGCATCTGTGTCATCGTCAGAACGAACGAGACCAAAGAGATGCCTCTCACCCTGGGCCTTCTCGGGCCAGTAGGTGCCGTCCTGGCTCAGGCCAAGAGGGCGCCTTTCGCCCTGGGGCTGGGCCTTCTCGGGCCAGTAAGTGCCGTCCTGGCTCAGACCAAGAAGACGCCTCTCACCCTGGGCCCTCTCAGGCCAGTAGGTGCCGTCTCGACTCAGACCAAGAGGACGCCTCTCACCCTGGGCCTTCTTGGGCCAGTAGGTGCCGTCCTGGCTCAGACCAAGAAGACGCCTCTCACCCTGGGCCCTTTCAGGCCAGTAGGTGCCGTCCTGGCTCAGGCCAAGAAGACGCCTCTCACCCTGGGCCTTCTCAGGCCAGTAGGTGCCGTCCTGGCTCAGACCAAGAGGACGCCTCTCACCCTGGGCCTTCTCGGGCCAGTAGGTGCCGTCCTGGCTCAGACCAAGAGGACGCCTCTCACCCTGGGCCTTCTCGGGCCAGTAGGTGCCGTCTTGGCTCAGACCAAGAGGACGCCTCCCACCCTGGGCCTTCTCGGGCCAGTAGGTGCCGTCCTGGCTCAGGCCAAGAAGACGCCTCTCAGCCTGGGCCTTCTCAGGCCAGTAGGTGCCGTCCTGGCTCAGACCAAGAGGACGCCTCTCACCCTGGGCCTTCTCGGGCCAGTAGGTGCCGTCCTGGCTCAGACCAAGAGGACGCCTCTCACCCTGGGCCTTCTCGGGCCAGTAGGTGCCGTCTTGGCTCAGACCAAGAGGACGCCTCCCATCCTGGGCCTTCTCGGGCCAGTAGGTGCCGTCCTGGCTCAGACCAAGAGGACGCCTCTCACCCTGGGCCCTGTCAGGCCAGTAGGTGCCGTCCTGGCTCAGGCCAAGAGGCCTTCGAACGGCAGCAGAGGCCACCAGCATGGTAGCAGCGAAGCAAATCTGTGAAAAGGAACATTATGTGTAATATTTCTACGCACATTTCAATAGAACCAGATACATATTGCACATTTTTATGACTGTTAACTTGAAAATATGCTTGCTCAGGGCAAGTCCCCTTAAATCTGTTTTGAGACAAAGCAAGAAGCTTGAATGATTTTAGCTTTACTGCTAGTTGTTATTGTACGAACATATGAAGCACACTCATCTGCAGTTAATTAAGTATGATGGAACACCATAAGCGATTGTTTAAAGAGAACTGAACACTTAAGTAGCTCATGCGGTATTCAACTAAGTAAGTACAACAAACTAGACATCTACCGCCAAACAAACTCACCAGAGACTTCATGTCTTCAGTGGAGCGCAGTGAGAGCTGGGTAATGTTCTCCTCTGTCAAGACCTGCTACTGATGACAAACTGCAGTCGATCGCATGCTTTATACTGGTCGTTATCTCCCACCTTCCGACGCACTATCTGCGTGGTCTGACCATGTCCTTGCCCGGCACTCAAGTCTCCGGGAATGAAGCACCGGATACCGCGTAGCCACGCTCCGGAAGTCAGGTGGCATCGCTTCCGGCACGCGCCGGACGTGATCGAGGACGATCGCTGGCTTTCTTGGAGACGATCGAGCACCGCTGAATGCGTGATGGCGTAAACATTGATAAGGTGCGGTCGGTGACGAGGACAGCCGATAAGACAGTGAGCAGTGGTCCGTTACTTCAGGCGTATCGACGAGTCTCGAGAGGTGAGTCAGCGTCTAGCTGTGTGAATAAGAAGACAAGATAAGGAAAATAATTGAGGAATTCAAAGGCACAGAACTGTTGATAAATCTACCTAATGATGGTGATGGTATTCTGATGAACATGAATTAAAAAGTCAAATCATACACGATGCAAACGCAAGGACTCAATTTTTAGTCTCGTTCCAATCTGAGGCTAATCTGCGCTCACATACGGGAGTCATGTGATTCGCCAATTCCCTATTAACGACGCCCCTCTACGCACCGTCCAACTATCCACTAAAACTCACGATGGTGCAAGAACGCACTCCGGCGCCACCCATCCGTAATTCCGCCTCCCTAGGCCTCCCCTTCTGCCACCCAGCTGCCGCTCGTAACTGCGTGCGATGTTCACCTGCAGGGCACCTCGCCACCCACACTGAAGGGAGGGTCTCGGGTCGTTCGTGCCCCACCGACAAACAGTTACCTTCCAGTCCGACCGTAAAGAGAACATCATGCCGCTTTGCAACCAATTTGGCAGACCGTCTAGAAACCCTAGCCGGCTCGTAAAAGTTTTACTACCGGGGTAAATTCTCGCCTTGCACACGTCTACCGATGTGAGGTAGTTGCAGAGGTGAATACCATGGGTGCTGGAGCATCCATACACGGTAGGTGACCTCCGTTACACGCGCATAAATGTCGAGCAGAATTGGGTTTGATTTTATGTTATGCTTCTTTGTTGTTACGGATGATACGGAGTGTTGAACAGATCGATCCTTTGGCTAATGAATACAGAATTCAAGTGAAGGAGCGAGCTGCGTGTTCACCTTGTGTAATGCAAGATTACTTTACTACTCGTGTATTGTCTATTGTGCGTGCATGCAAATTTAATTGGGCATTTGAGAGTATTATAGTAGCACTGGAACAATTAAGGTGAGCACTTGATGTGAAATGATCTGACTGCTGTATTCCACAAATCATCGACAATCATTTATGGTCACGATGATCGAAAGCTTTCATTTCCATCCAAAGCGAAACCACTCGCAGAAGAGTTGTTTCCGTGGACATCTCTGTCTGCAGCGTGGCGGGCGCGCTCCCCAAATGGGCCTGTCAGATCAGATTGCAGGTACATTTGCAGTACACGCCGGGTTTTCGGGGCGGCCTCGATGAATAATGGCCGGTGGTTGGGCAGTAATGAGGTGCGCCGGGAGATGCAGCAGCGGCGCCATGACCGACGCGCCGCCACGCACGCTGAAATAGCCGGCACGAGGCAGCCTTCCAGCTGACGAATTACCTGACGACAAATGATCTAGAATGCGTATATTCTAATGAGCTGAGCCATAGTTCTGGGAAAGTTTCGAAATAATCGGACGACCATGATGCTGTGAAATGGGACAACTAATAAATAAGAGTGTGACTGATTTGCAATTCATTTAATTCACAAAATACCTACTTCAAGAAGAGTGAATTAAAAATGCATAAAAGATAATTATCAGCGTTAACCTTTGCACAGTTTTTTTTTTCTGCATGGTAAACGCATAATACAAAAGAGCATGCACGATCGCCAGTGTGCTGAGTGCGCTCCTGATCACCTGAAGTGTTTCTGTTCAGTCTCTCACACCTCACTGCGCTCCCGTCCGTTCCTTTACCTCCTCGACCATCGGCCGGCCCGTCTGCCGTCCGTTCGGGCCGGCAAAAACTTCTCTCGGGTGGGCGCTCGCGCCGCCGAGCGCTGAGTTAGTGCGGCTCCGCGGCCCGCAATTACACCGACCACACCGCGCCGCCGCCACCGCGGCCCGCATAATTAATATCTATAATTTAAAACAATAACGCGGCGGCGAGCTGGCAGTAAATCGGACGTGGTGCCGCGGCGGCCGCGAGCGCCGGCCGGCACGGCGTGAACGGACTGCCGCGCCCCACAGAGGAGGTGTGGCAGGGCGCCACGTTCCAGAGAGGAGGTGTGGCAGGGACGCCGCGCCCATAGGGGTAGGTATGAGGCAGGGCACCACGTATGTATATACCAGAGCGAACTTGTGGAGAGGTATACAACAAAATGCATACGGCATTCACACCGTAATGATATCTTGTCTATCCCATAGCTATCTGAGCTTGACAGCTTGCTTCAGGACTCAGAAGAAACAGGACTAAATCACAACCAACTAGCTGCAAAAAAAATAGGCAAAATAAAAATAGAATAAAATCCCTCCCCAGACACCGTCGAGCTCCAAGAACTGGCCACCGCAGCTCCCCATCCACGTCCGGGAGCGTCCGACTAGTCTACCCCGCTATCCATCACGGGACAAAGTGGCTATTTGGGCCACTTACCGGTGCAGGGTGGCACGGGTGCAGCCTCATTGCACTGTGATACGAGCCCCGCGCTGGCCGGAGGGCTCGGACCTCGGCGGCCGGTGGGACAAGACATGGCGCGCCGCCGACTGCCGCACCGCTAATGGGAGATTAATGGTGTCTGATGCCCGAGGGTAGAGGTGCAGACACGAAAGTGCACCTTACACACAGAGAGAGATCGTGGGTCTAGATTAGAGAAGGGCAGAAATCAATTCATCTGCTCAATTCTTGAAGGATGTTTTATTTTGTTTGTTCATTGTTTTGGTGCTTCTTCCCTCCCTCCCTTGTAGGGAAGGAGTTACCAAGTGCCAGTCACTGGCGGTTTTTCATTATTGCTAGAAATAAGAAATGCATCAACGTTAGAGAGCTTAAATGAAATAGGTGCAGGGCTTTTGACACCAGTGTGACCGCCTGTGCTTTTTGCAGCAGTTCGCTTGTTGCCTCAAAGTGGGCTCGTAGCAGGTGTCTCACTCGCCTGGCCCCTCTTAGAGGCGATATCTCGGTACTCATGTATTATGCCGGGTTGACACAACACACGGTTCCTAAAACGAAAAATCACACAGTCAGGTCCCATACAGCACTTGAGGACTTACTATTCGCCTCCTCGCCTGGCGCCGTGCCAAAACGATTTCGATCATTCAAACTAGGTAAACGAAAGCGACAAAACACAATAAAAATACCGAGAAACAGAATAACAAATTAAATTGAACTAAACCAGCCTAAATAACCTAAAAATAAACATCTTACCGAATTATATCGCTTTTACCACTGCAGACACAGGCCGGCCGCCTTCTACACAGGCTCGGCGGGGCAAAAACTAAACGTCTCAAAACATACATGAGGAGAGCCCACGCTGGAGGTTGCGGCCGGTAAATAAAAGGAATAAAGGACAAAAATACATCTTCGCGCTTACACCCTCCTCCTTGAACCGATCAAGGTTCAACCAAACCTCTAGGCTCTCTCCGACCTGATGAAGGCTGGCAAGCCGCCACCAGCTGAACTACAACCAATACAAGGTAAGCTATCCAACCTCCACCTGATTTAAACAGAAACCCGCTACTCCTCTTGCACGAGCACCAGCTTGTTGATTGGTCGCTTGAGAACTGAGCGTGCCGTCTTGACAATAACAGTCCTCACATGGCCGCTAGCATCTGGGAACACCTCAGCTACACGTCCTAAAGGCCATTGAAGTCGCGGAAGAGATAAGTCAACAACCAAGACGAGATCCCCTACTGAGAGGTTTCTTTCAGTTTTCATCCACTTCTGTCTGTGCTGCAACAGCGGCAGATACTCCGACACCCATCTTCTCCAAAAGATGTCTGCGAGGTATTGAACCTGGCGCCATCGTCGCTTGGAGAAGCTGTCTGACCTCACAAAGATGCCGGGTGGAACAGCGCCGCCCCGGAGCAACAACAGGTGATTCGGCGTAATCGGTTCCAAGTCTGCAGGGTCACTGGAAACGGGGGTGAGCGGACGGCTGTTGATGACGTTTTCGACTTCACACATGAGTGTGTGAACTGCTCCATCGTCCATTGTCTGCTCCTGAAGCAAGGCTTCCAGAACCTTCCTGATGGTTCGAACTTGACGTTCCCAGACGCCTCCGTGGCTCGATGCTCCTGGCGCATTGAAGATCCAAGTGATGCCCTTCTGAAGTAAGAAGTTGTGCACCTCTTCACTGTTCAGGTTGGACACAGCTTCGCGCAGTTCATGTTCCGCCCCTACAAAGTTTGTTCCATTGTCGGAACGGATGTATTGAACTTGACCCCGCCTGGCTTGAAAGCGCCGTAGTGCATTGATGAACGAGCTTGTATCAAGACTGTTTGCCACTTCTATGTGAACCCCACGAGTGGTCAAGCAGGTAAAGAGTACACCGTATCTCTTGCTCTGCCTTCTACCACTCTTCACAAAGAACGGGCCAAAGTAATCACATCCAACCTTGGTGAAAGGAGGCTCATCCGGTGTGACTCTTTCAGGCGGCAAGTCTGACATCACTTGACTCACGACCGGTGCCTGTCTTCTTCTGCAGCTGGTACATCTTGACAACACCGCTCGGACTGCTGAGTTGGCCTTGATGATCCAGTACCTGCTGCGGAGGGCAGCCAGCACGTGTTCACGGCCGGAATGACCGGCCAGCGCGTGGAAGGCTCGGATCACCAAGTCCGTTACGTGGCCCTTACCCGGCAGCAGGAACGGATGACGTGCACGCGCGTGGACAGGCGCAGCGCCCAATCTGCCTCCGACACAAATGATGCCATCTTGAATCTGGGGATTGAGCCGGAACAGAGGACTGGATCGCTTGACCAAGCCACCTCTCTTCAGCGAACTCAGCTCTTCTGGAAAACGCCGACGCCTGCACGACGCCAACGATTGCCCTCTCT